CTGGAAATTAATAATAACAGCATATTTTTATATAAAAAAAAAATTGTAAATAGGATTTAATAGAGATTTTCTCAGGAAAAAATTACGGTTTTAAACAAATAAAATAAAATAAAACATATGTAAATATTTACTTTAGGTTTGCCTTAATGACACTTTTCTACCCAAAAAGTTTCAAAATATCATTTTTCTATCAAAAAATTATATTCCGCTAATATCTAAAATACGTTTTACTTTCTCAATCGATGATCAGCGAGTTACAAGGAGTCAGGATAAGAGGGGTTTTGTAGAGTAGAGGCCAGTGGACCAATTGAATATTCACCGTCAGAATCATTCGAAAATTATCTAAGAATAGGAAATCCTAGCTTTGTAGTGGTCGAGAATCAACAAGAAATCAAATGCCTAGATGAGAGGGTTTTTGTAGAGAAGAAACCAGAGGTTCAAATGGTGATAACAAAGAGAATTTTCGCAGCCAAAATCGATCGGAATCGGCTTTAGGTATTAACAGAATATAAACTTTGGGTGAAAAAGTGGTATTTTGAAACTTTTTAGGTGGAAAAATTCATTAAGGCAAACCTTGGGATGGAAAAAGTTGTTTGCTCATATTTAATAAGATAAAACTTACACTCGTGCCATAAAAAATCAATCTCCACAACACTTATAATAAAGTAATAATACTGCCATGTGAGAAAGATTATATATATATATATATATATATATATATTATATATATATATATATACGATAGGTCATTGTCTGTATCGATTATTATAAGTCTAATTTCTATACTGTTTATAAAGATATCTCTACCATCTATTTGAAATTAACAATTACATTAGAAGTCTACACAACCTTCGTCATAGAAAATATTAAGAAAACATAATCTCACAACACCAAATTCCTATATAAGAAGATACACATCAAAAATGGATCTCCAAAACACAATCAAACTTGAATCAAAAATAAATTAATTAACACTCTAAAAATGGCCCCAGGCCCACCACACCCTCATCTCCAATAATTTTCATCTCTCTCTCCTATCCTCTCCATCTTCACTTCCCAAGCTCTTTCTCAATCAAACGATGAATGCACCACTGCCTCCTCTCCTGCAACGACAAAGCTGCAGCTTTGCCGCTCAAGATCATCGCCATCGTTACAATTTAATCACCAGCTTGATCGGCGTTTCTGCGCCGCTTTTCACTCGTTCGGTCAAAGCTCTCCACCCTGATCGGAATTTGTTCGTTGTTGTGAAGTCTTTTGCCGCCGGGATCATTCTGGCGACCGGGTTCATGCACGTGCTGCCAGACTCTTTTGACATGTTGTCGTCAAGTTGTTTGGAGGATAATCCATGGCATAAGTTTCCTTTTACGGGGTTCGTGGCGATGTTGTCTGCGATTGTGACGCTCATGGTGGACTCTTTGGCAACGAGTATTTATAGCCAGAAGTGTATTGCTGGTGGTGGTGGTGTTGTTATTCCGGAGGGTGAAAGGGACGAAGAGCTGGCTGCAGCACCTCCGAGCTTCGGACATATGCATGGCCACAGCCACCATCTCGATCAAACAAAGACAGCAGGGAGTGGTGGTTCCCAGCTGATGCGGTATCGTGTTATTGCTATGGTAATGTTTGACCTTTTTTAGTAGACATGTCAAAATAAAATATGTTAAATTATCTCTTTTGGTCAAACAAATAGTGGAATATAGAATTAAAACTTAAATACAATTTTTTATTTTTGAAAACAAATTTAGTAGAAATGAGTTAAAATGCTTTTTAAATTTGGACTGAATTTTAGTTTCTCAAAATTATTTTTAAATCACAAATCCATCAAACCTAAAAAACTATCGCAAATTTGTTTTATCATCGGTAAATAAGGATGTAGTCAATTGTTTTATTTTGTTGAATTGATTTGATTAATAGTGAAGATGACATATGTTACATTGCTTATATATTTAGGTATTAGAATTGGGAATTGTAGTACATTCAATTGTGATAGGGCTTTCTGTTGGAGCCTCAAACAATACTTGCAGCATCAAAGGTCTTATTGCAGCTCTTTGCTTCCACCAAATGTTTGAAGGAATGGGCCTCGGTGGTTGCATTCTCCAGGTATAATTTCTTTTAAAATACAAATCTTGTTTACCGACCTTAGATGACAGTTTCCTATCATCAAAAAATTGTGAAAATGAAAAATTAATCAAACTTTTCGTATTAAAAATTTTGTGGTTTACAACTAACCAATGCTCGTCAAGTCTGTCTAACAATAAAAGATAAAAATCCCAGTTGAACTTTCAAACATTTAAAAAATCATTGAACACCATCTAATTATTATTTTTTTTTTTTTTAAATGTAGACATACTTGAAAATTTTCGTGTACATAAATATATAGCCCATCTCTTGCGAAGGTCAATATATCACTAAAATACGAATCTCATTAGATAGTGTTATTAGTAACGGTTTACAAACACTAACACTAAAAAAAATATCTAAGTTTTTATGACATTGAATAACCGAAGCCCAAATTTTGAAACAAATACTTATATCAAAACCTAAGAATTTTTTTCATATATATTTATATAGGCTTTGACTATCATACAACACAGTACAAATGGAAATTATAAGTTCTACATTACGAGTTTAAAAATTTTACATTAATATCTTGATACAGCGTTGTACTATAACAAAACCCTAGTTATATATTTCTTTTTACAAATTTCCACTTTCTCTACTATGTATCAACCAGGCCGAGTACAAGCTATTCAAGAAGATGGTAATGGTGTTCTTCTTCGCCGTAACGACGCCGTTCGGCATTGCCCTAGGGATCGCATTGTCAAACACATACAAAGAGAACAGTCCAACAGCATTGATCTCAGTAGGGTTGTTGAATGCTTCATCAGCCGGGCTTCTAATCTACATGGCTCTAGTTGATCTTCTTGCTGCTGACTTCATGGGCCAAAAGTTGCAGGGAAGCATCAAGCTTCAGCTTAAATCTTATGCTGCTGTTCTTCTTGGTGCTGGTGGCATGTCCCTAATGGCAAAATGGGCTTGAGATTTTGATTGTATCATAATGTAATAAATTTTGTTTTTCTTGTGTTTTTGTCGTCGTTGTACAATACTATTAAACTTAAATCTTAATGTTGAACCTTTGCACATCGTACAATGTTGTTAAAGTTAAATCTTAACATTGAACCTTTAAATCGAATAGTTTTGTTAAACTTAAATCTTAATATATATTTATTTCCTGGTGAGTGTGTTTGTTTTAGTATTTTGGATAGTATTTTGGAATATGGAATTAGAACTTAAATACAATTTTTTTATTTTTGAAAACAAATAATGCTTTTTGAATAGTTTCAAGATAAAATACTAAAAAGTAATATTATCTTGTTATTGCCATGGTATATTTTTTTAAGTAGACAAATAGAATGAACTATGTATTAACAAGTTAGTTATACTCATACATATAGTAAGTATAGATAAGGTTAGAGTATAAAAAGAAGGAATAAAATGGTCTAATGTCGAATATAAAATACAGTTTTTTGTTTTTCAAAATAAGAGATTCAACAAATCTCATGAAAACATGTTTGACAGAAATGAATCATTTTCAAAAACTGTATTCGGATACAATCTTTAAAAATTAATATAAAATAAAAAAACCATTAAAAATCAGTTTCTTAATTCTTTATACTTTTTAATTTGAAAAAAGAATATTATATAAACACATTTAACATACAACTATAAAATTTGGACTGAATTTTACTTTCTCAATTTTTTTTTTTAAATCACAAATCCATCTAACATAAATAACTATCACAGTTTTTTATTTTATTTTATTTTTTTATCATCAATAAACAAGAATGTGATTAGAAATTATGGCACTTGTATTTAGTCAATTGTTTTGTTTTGTTGAATTGATTTGATTAGGAGTAAATGACATATTCCCACCCAAGGTTTGACGAAATCTCAAGTTGGTATCCCATGTTACATTTATTCCAGATTCTCACCCTTAAAGTGATGGAAAAACATTTGATATAACGATAAAGGGGTAAATTGGTCATTTTATATGGGCGGTGCACGTTAGCAGACCACCGCCTCTAACAGTCCTCCAGCGCACGTTAGCAGACGGCATCCCCGACGTTTTTTGCTCTTTTTCTAGCAATTCTTCCACCCAAAATCACCCTTGTCACCACCATTAGACCCCCATCCTCCCCTCTACAAAACCATACCCTTCACAACCCTTCATCACTAGTCGATCGCCGCCCACGGTAGTAGCGGCAGGGCACTGGTTTTTGTCGGTTTCCAACTGTTTTGAAAGGCGACAACCCCAACCACCACCACAATTTGACTCTTCGCATCCTCTCATACAAAACCCCTAACCTTTCTAGCCATAACAGCTCAATGTTTGCTGTCCATCACTTCACCAAAAAACGGCAGATGAACACAAACTCTCAGCTGACGAATGGCGACGAAACGGTTGCTGGGGACATAGCGGCTTTCTAGATTTGGAGATGGTGGTTGCAATGGTGGTGTCCAATTGGATTTTCGCCGCCGGAATCGATTGGAATTCGGCGAAGAACACCAAAACCCTAAGCCTAATGGCACCGGTGATTGGAGGGGCCAATGAGTCGGGAACCAGAGGGATTTTGGACAGCGGACTATAGGGAAGGTGATGGAGGTGACTCGGGGGTTAGACGTCTTCGAAAACAGCCCAGATCGGGCTGTTTTCGACGAGGGTGTGTAGTGACCGTGGGTGTTTTTGACATAATTTGAAAATAAAATGGTAAGTTTTATAATTCCACTAATTTAGGGGTTAAAACATAATTTATTAATTTAGGGTTAAGGGCATTATGGTAATTGCACTCTTTAAACCCTAAAAATTGATAACACTGTTATTTTAAGGGTGGGAATCTGGAATAAATATAACCTGGGGTACTAACTTAGTATTTCGTCAAACCTTGCGTGGGAATATGTTGTTTACTCTTTGATTAATAGTAAAGTTAAACCAAATTTGTTGGATGCAGGAATTAGAATTGGGAATTGGAGTACATTCAATTGTGATAAGGCCTTCTGTTGGAACCTTAAACAATACTTGCAGCATCAAAGGTCTTATTGCAGCTCTTTGCTTCCACCAAATGTTTGAAGGAATGGGCCTCGATGGTTGCATTCTCTAGGTATAATTTCTTTTAAAATACAAATCTTGTTTACCGACCTTAGATGATAGTTTCCTATCATCAAAAGATTGTGAAAATGAAAAATTAATCAAACTTTTTCGTATTAAAAACTATAAATTTTGTGGTTTACAGCTAACCAATACTCGTCAAGTCTGTCTAACAATAAAAGATAAAAATCCCAGTTGAACTTTCAAATATTTAAAAAATCATTGAACACCATCTAATTATTTCTTTTATTTTTTAAATGTAGACATACTTGAAAATTTTCGTGTACATAAATATATAGCCCATCTCTTGCGAAGGTCAATGTATCACTAAAATACAAATCTCATTAGATGGTGTTATTAATAACGGTTTACAAACACTGACACTAAAAAAAATATCCAAGTTTTTATGATGTTGAATAACCGAAGCCCAAATTTTGAAACAAATACTTATATCAAAACCTAAGAACTTTTTTTCATATATATTTATATAGGCTTTGACTATCATACAACACAGTACAAATGGAAATTATATGGTGTGTTTGTTTTGTTATTTTGGGAATAATATTGGGCAGTTGAATAGGGTGAGTATTACGAGGTAAAATTTACAAATTAACAAAAAAAACCCCTAGGTTTGCTAATTTAACTAAACACCCCAATATATAAAAATTTTGTAAAATGACAAAAACACTCCCCCTCACCCACAATGCCAGATTCCTGCCACCACCACCTGAATCTAGCTGAAAAATAGTGTTACGATGCAGACCAGTCAGATCTAGCCGATAGGGCGTCAATATGGCCTTTTTCGGCCAGATCCACCACAGATCTGGCCGGAAAAAGCCAGATCTACAGCCAGATTTGGTCGTCAGCAATGGCTAAAGATATGGTCATCATTGTTGGTCAACGATGGCCATGATTTGGCCGTCGTTGACTGTCAACGACGGCCATTTCTTTGGCCACCATTTGGCCTTTTCCGGCCAGATCTACTGTGGATCTGACTGGAAAAGGCCATATCATCAAACTATTTGTTGTTTCTATGCTGTTGTGATAGATTTCGGCAACCTTTGGCAACTATGGGTGGGTGGGGGTGTTTTTATTAATTTTTAAACTTTTTTTGTTAGGGTGTTTAATTAAATTAATAAACTTAAGGGGTCTAAAAGTAATTAAAAAATAGAATAGTATTTCCCAAATATTTAAACAAACAAGTGTTTTGGGAATAGGATAGGGAATAGGGTATGAAATAATAAAACAAACGGACCCATAAGTTTTACTTTACGAGTTTACAAATTTTACATTGTACTATAGCAAAAGCCTAGTTATATATTTCTTCTTACAAATTTCCACTTTCTCTACTATGTATCAACCAGGCTGAGTACAAGCTATCCAAGAAGATGGTAATGGTGTTCTTCTTCTCTGTAACGACGCTGTTTGGCATTGCCCTAGGGATTGCATTGTCAAACACATACAAAGAGAACAGTCCAACGGCATTGATCTCAGTAGGGTTGTTGAATGCTTCATCAGCCGGGCTTCTAATCTACATCGCTCTAGTTGATCTTCTTGCTGCTGACTTCATGGGCCAAAAGTTGCAGGGAAGCATTAAGCTTCAGCTTAAATCTTATGCTGCTGTTCTTCTTGGTGCTGGTGGCATGTCCCTCATGGCAAAATGGGCTTGAGATTTTGATTGTCATAAATATTCGATGTATCATAATGTAATAAATTTTGTTTTGCTTGTGTTTTTGTCGTCGTACAATACTATTAAACTTAAATCTTGTAGATGTAAAAATCTACTTGTATGGAAGGGGGGGTCTGATCAAGTGAGGTTGAGGCTACTAGCGATCTGCTGCACCTGCACACGTAGAGAAATAAGTGCGTGAAGAGAACGAAAAACACCAGGGTGGTGTTTGCTATAGGCACTGTGACGCTCAAGTCAGCAAGGCTGAAAGAGGCTAATTTAGTGAGGGCTAAGGAGTAGAAAGGTTACCGGAAGTCTAGTCGGGGACTGTGACTACGGCAGTGATGTATAGCTCTCAAGTAGGAGCTTCGGGTGAGAAGATGTAATGTAATCTGTCTTCTGAGAGTGCTAGTCACTGCTTATATAGTGACTGTCTAGTCTCCCAATCCTGGTAGGAGTAGGAGTCCTAGTGTGACTCTGATATGAACCCTAGAGGAGTTAGGGCGGTGGTGAGCTGTCTTACCAGTGTTTGAATAGGAAGGTGATCTCGAACAGGAAAGTAACTTCGAGTAGGAAAGTAATCTGAACAGGAAAGTGACCTCGAATAGGAGGTTGATTTGGAATAAGAAAGTGATCTGTGGGGGCCGTGGGCTCTGAACTCGCTCATAGGTCCAGGAAGTGAGCTGGGATTGGGAGGCTTGTGCCTAGATGATTTTGGCCGGCTGTATCTTGAATCAAATGGGCCTGCACCGGGATTGGATTTGGGCTCTTCCACACAATCAAGCCTATTTTCCTATTTGGGCCAAGGGCGATTTTTGGCCTTAACGGTTTGCCCCCCACTCTCTGAGTTAAGAATTTTTTAAGTCAGAGAGTAGGAAGCGAATGAGGCATGCTCGGTCTCCCTTCCTAGATGACCGATCGTCGGTGTAACTAAAGAGTTTAAGGTAGCTGGTTTGTAGTCCTGCGTCGTTTTACCGAGCCGAAGTATGCCATCATCCTAAGAGGGTGTGCTCAATCGGCGTGAAGGGCCGAAGGGATTGAGAACGATTTCTGGGACTCATGTGCTCGTTTGGTGTGTCTTGTCGACTGGAGGAGTGAGTTAGCATCCCATGGTGGGGGTGTCCGCTCGGTATGCCGAATTGAGTAATGTAGAGATAGTATCGGGCTGAAGGCTCATTCGGTCGGGGAGCTCAGGTGGTCGAGTGGGTGAGATGCGAGAGCTTCGACCTTTGGTTGTCCATTCGTCCACTATGGATGACCAAAAGAGCGAGGCATCCTGGTTTGATCGTCTGGAGAGTGAGCGCGAGCTAGGCTATTCCAAGCTGATCGACCAGTCGGGAGGACCTCCTGGGCTTGTGAAGCCTGGGAGCATGTCGGGTCCAGTTCGGAAGTCACGAGCTGAGTCAGTTGGGAGGACAGGATGGCTGAGCCGTAGCTTTCGTACTGTGCTACGGTTTCCTAGGTACCCTGGATCGCTGCCACGTGTACGATAGCGATTGACCCGTCATTTTGAGAGCGGGAAAATGAAAAGATGCCCTGATCATTGACCAATTGCAAGCTGCCACATGTCTACTTTTTTCTTATAAAATTTGAGGAACGGATTGTTCATCTTCCATTTGCATTTTCCTTCTATTTTCCTAAAAATAATTTCTTTCCTTTTCCTTCCTTCCTTTTCGTTCCAGTTTCTTGAGCGAAAGAGGTTTCTCTTTCTGCAGTCTTTTGAGGTAAACATTCTTCTCTTTGGGCTGATTTTCTGCTTTATTTTGGTTGTTTGCTAAATTTTTGGAAGATAGGATGAAGTTTTTGAAGTTTTGAGTAGGTTTTGGTTGGGTTTTGAAGTGTTTTAGAATAAGGTTTCTTAGAATAGGCATAGATTTGGGTTTTCCGGTGGATTTCCAACAAGTTGCCAGCAGTTTTGGTATTTTCAGGTTTTTGGACGGCACAGGGGAGATGCCGGGTTACGTAACACTTTGGCTCGATTGGTCTATCCGACAAATCGAGTGACGGGCTGACAGTTGTAATCTAAGTGGTCTAGGTCGGTCGTCTGTCCCATCCGACCGAGTAGGAAAGATATCGTATGATTGATTCAGTCGAACAGGGCTCGGTTGGTCTGAATGATCGAATAGTAGGATAACCTGAGGGTTTAGTAGGACAGGTAGGTCGTTCGGTCCATCCGACCAAGTGGCGAGTTGATTGTGGGAAGGGTCGACTTGGACAAGGGATCAGTAACCTAGGTCAAGTAGGTGGTACGGTGAGTGTTTGGATTGGCGAGTCGGTGACCAAGGACGGGTTGATTCAGGGGTAAGCCTAAAGATAGGTCGATTGCTTGGGGTGAGCGAGAAAAAGCTTTGCTGAATCTGGGACACAGTCGGTCGGTAGAGAAGGTCAAGCAAAGTTTAGGAGTTGACAATTTTGTCGATGACAGGTTGACCGGTTCTGAAGGACGAGTAATTACTGGGTGTTGTAGACTTACTCGGTCGGTAGGTCGGGGCGAGTGGTCGCTTGATACTTTAGGTTTTAGAGTTTTGGAACTGGGATCGAGTCAGTCGGGTCGGACGAGTAGGTCGATATGTCCGACTCTAAGTCGGCTAGTTATAGCAGGGTTGTGGCAGATACTGGTGACAAGTACGAATGTGCCCCTACCATAGTGATGATGCCCGAGGGGGGCGTTCCGATGGGAGTACCGACTGGAGTTAGTGTAGCTGCCCCAGGGACGAGTGCTGCCGGCCCGAGCGGTTTGGGCAGGCATGGGGAAGTGGGGAAGACTCTGGAGTGGCTGGCAGTCCGTCTTCATCTAGTAGTGGCTCTGAGGAAGAGCCGAGCCAACAAGGCAGTGGGATCTTGACCAAGGATTATCCTCCCGTGCTTAAAGACAGCGATGTTTGGCGCATCCAGACTTTGTATCACATTCCGACTTTGATTGAGATTTGGGCACCACGGTCGTACGAGCGGGTCGACTGGGAGGCACAAGGCTGGGTTAATGTTTACGAGAAGTGGTTTCACGATGGGTTGAGGTTGCATGTTCCTCACCTCGTCTGGGAGGTGTTGAACCACTTCATGATTGCCCCATCTTAGCTCATGTCGAATGGTTGGAGGTTGCTTATGGCCTTGAAGGACCTCTGTATCTGCACCAGGTGATGTTTGGGCTACACGAGTTGTTGTACTCATACTTTCTGAAGGAGAATGATAAAGAGAAAGGCAGATATCTGATTAACCTGAGGCATGACCGGTCTCACTTGGTGACCGACCTGCGGTCCAGCGACAAGAACTAGAAGGACCGATACTTCTTTGTGAAGGGTCAAACTGTTTTTGGGGAGAGAGGACAGGGCGACATCCCGAGCAGTTGGCGAGCTACTAGTGAGAACTTTGTTGTTTTTTGCACTTTGATTACTAAATCTTGATTGTGTTTTTTTGCTTGCAGAACTTGAGTACAATTAGGCTAGGCAGAGCGGAGACGGCATGGATGCAGTGACCCAGCGAGTGCTAGCCATTCCAAAGGTGCAGAGGGATTGGCAGGTAGTATTGGCAGAGTCCAACTTCAGGACCAGCCATCTTTAGGCCGGAGTAGAGGCGATTCAGCGAGGTATTCCCTTTCCTTCGTTGAAGCAGACTTGGGACGTGCTTCTAGCTCGGTACTGCAATCATATCATTTTTGGTGAGTCAAGGCTGAACCCACTAACCGTTGGAGAGTTTGTGCTTGCAGAGACACTAATAAAGAAGTTGTCTGTCCCTAGTGTAAGTGAGTCCATCATCCGGCATCGAGAGAAGAGGAGGAGGGAATCCTCGACCAGGGAGGATAGGAGAGTGGAGGATGTGTTGGAGACACTGCCGAGTTAGCAGCCCGCGGCCGGAGCTGGAGCGTCCTAAACGGTGGTCATGGATGAGGAGGCCGAGACAATTACTTTCAAGATTTTGGCTACCGCATCGACCTATTCTGACGCGACTTCCATGAGTAAGCTGCCGACTCGTTCTTATTCCCAAAAGATGAGGCGCATTTAAACCAGATGGGCGCAGTTGCCGCTGCTGACTGGGGGGTATCCCACGCCTTTCAGGTATGGCAGGACTTTTGTTTCATTTTGCTTCTAACTTTGGTATTGATGACGGTGTATTATTGTGCAGGCCTTCACAAGCAGTCTTCATCTGAGGAAGTCTGTGGTGGCGCAGGAGAAGAGGATACAAGATGTGTCCAAGGCGAATACTAACTTGCGCCAGAGAGAGGCAGCAGCCCAAAAGGCTGAGCAAGAGAGTTAGCAACATCTGAGGGATTACGAGCAGCGGCTGCAGGATTACGAGCAGCGGCTGTAGGATTACGAGCGTGAGTTGGAGAGAGTAAGGGGTGAGTTGGCCGAGAGGACCGCAGAGGTCGAGTCTCTCAGGGAGCAATGCCTTTCCATTGCAGATGATACTATTATCAAGGCCCGGGGAGAACTCATGCTTGAATTCAAGGAAAGGAAGACCTCTCACTGGGATCCGGACGAAGACATCCAGCTAATGCGAGAGTTGCTGGAAGAGGGAGACGGTCATCCGGGGGGATAGGTCGAGGAGTAGATGCTTGACGTTGCTGGTCTGCCAGGGCCGTCGAGTGAAGGGGATACGAGCGACCAGGCTGCGGGGACGGGTGGTGCAGACAGGGCGACCGAATCGGAGATGGAGGAGACGACTCGTACTGAAGATACTTAGCTTAGCTTTTTTTGTTTATGTATTTTAGGGCCTGTGATGCCCTTTTCATTGGCGTGTGTGCCCCCTCTTTTATGTTTTTCGTACTCTGAACTGAGCCGTTTGAGGCTATATGTATTACACTTGACTGTTTTAACTTTTGATCCTTTCTTCATGGATGAATGAGTTTTTGATTGCTTCTCTACTTGTTGATGTTTTATGTAGTTTTTGTGGTTTTAGTGCGGCCTAATGACTAAGGCATGTAGGCCTTTTGTTGGGCTCTGTTGGTTATATTTCCTGATCGAGGGTATATGAATATAAAGCTCGGTCTGGCCGACCGAGTAT